TACCTCTATGACCCCATAGCATAGACTGCAATATAGAATGACACACACATCCACTCTTAAAAAGTTTTTATTAATTTTCATTGTTTAAAAAAAACCAAAAAACAAAAAACCCAAACCCATCAGTGCAACAATTCAGGATTCCCCTTCTCCTACCCCATCAATAAGCAGTAATTAAAGAAAAAAAATCAGGAAATACTGAGTGCTGGAGCCAATGGGTTAGCATTTTGCTATTTATTTCCTTTTGTCAAACTCTGAAAAAGTCCTCTGTATAAATTAAACAATGAAAAAAATGTTATTTTCAATTCTATGTCATCATTACAGTCAACATAATTCATAATAATGCTTCTAAAATGTGTGTCCACAATATATCAGGTATACATTTTGGGGAAAAGAAAAAAAAGGAAAAAAATATGACATTTTAGGCTTGTTAAAAGGATAATGGTCCCATATTTTTATTAACAGGTTAGCAAAACAAAATCCAATGGATTACAATATTTACATGTTATTTGAAAAATAAAGTAGTGATAAAAGCATGTCACAATCATTTATTTCATTTTTTTTTTCTTTTTCATTTTTGGTAACCATTACAAACACCCAATCCAGGTATGGAACTGTTTAAATACATTTGAAATGAGGCCAATTAAAAAACAAATACAGACACAAAATGTGTGTTTATACTTGTCCCTCCGATGCGTTTTCCACATGATGCTCCCTCCCACCTCCGAAAAAAACCCAAAAAACAAAAACCCCCAAACCCACAAAGGATGAATCCTTAAAAGCAAAAAACACCATGCTTCTCAAGTAGCACTTATTCCACAAATGCAACATTTTTGCCATTGATTTTTATGTGAAGCTCTGTGGGACACTGTCTTCTCAGCAGCTTCCTGTCTTTTCCCTCCCCACCCGATATATTCCCCCCAAAAAAACAAAACAAAAAAACAAACAAAGACACATGCATTTTCTAAAACTAGGTTTCAGTCAAGTACTTTCTACTTTTTTGGAAAGAAACTCTTTTTGTTCTCGATCAGAACATACCACGGGCCTGGATCCTGTATTCCTTGCTCAGGCAAAAACTTCCATTGGCTTCAGCAGAACTTTCACCCAAGGAAAAGTGCAGGATCAGTCCCAAGGCGTGTAGATTCCTATTTAGTCTACGCTGCTCTCCTCATGCCAAAAGCTAAGGAGGAGGGAAAAAATAGCAACTCCCATCTTGAATCAGGTAAGAGTAGTTCTCCAGGCTCCATGTAGTATGAAACTATCTCACCTCCGCTTGCAAAATGATGTGTTAACAGACACCTCTCCCTCCCACTGCACCAAAACAAAAAAGAAACACACACTCCACGTACAAAAAGGCAGCCAATCTTAACAAAAAAAAGTTACTGGTGTGAGACTGATAGATGTTAATATGACAAGCAACAGAATGGTTATGAGGACCCAAGTGTTTGGTCCGCAAGCTGCATAGCTGTGCCATAAGTTTGGTTCTTTAGTTTAAATTTGAGGAAAAAAAAGTTAAAACATCTTTGTTATTTCCGTGTTTAATTTAAAAAAAAGTTCTATTCACAAGAACTAATCTCCTTTCCCTGCCCGCACCCCCCCTCCAAAAAAAATCATTTTACATGACAAACTTAATTGTGCTGTATTTGTAACACCTCAGGCTGATAGAAAATAAACATGTGGCAAACAAAACCGCACAATCAGTCACATGAAATCTATCAAATCCTAAAATTATAGTTGAATACTAACAAACAGCTTACCTGGAATAAAGGATGACAATTCACAAACAGTTATCTAGGAATTAAAGTCTCTTTCTTTTTTTTTGTTTTTTTTTTTACTAAAATAATTAAAAAAATCACAGTATTTTAAGAAATAAAACCCACACTGGGATTTTAAGCACAATTTGTTTTCCTTTCTTTAAAACTTTTTTCATCCTCCATTCACCATCTTACCCAGCAGTCTCTCTACATTTAACCACAATGACAACAGGTAGTACTGACAAATGCAGAGATTTCCCTTGGTTAATTTTGAGGTACTAGGAAACAGGTGACTGTTTTAAGCAAAGCAGTTTTTTTTTCTTTTCTAAAGCAGTTGCATTCAGTCTGGAAAAGCGTAATGTATTAAAACTAGAAAAACGCACCGAAATTTGTGCGTCGAAAAGTCGTCCCCCCCTTTCTTCCACGCGTGCGACGCTTCCATTCTCAAACAATCCAAGTCTCCATTGCAAAGCACGTTGTGTAAATGTAGAGATATATGGGGAGTTGCTTCATTAGTCCAAGGATGAATGTAACTTCCCATTGTCATGATCCAGAAGAAAAGATGCAGTGATGTAATGGAGCCACTTATTCCATCATTTAAATAACTTTAATATACACACACTCACACAGGTACCAGTGCTTTGAAAATAGATCATTCAGTCCTAAAAGCAGCTTTATTTTGTCCTTCTGCCCACCCCACCCACCCCACCCCATTCATCAATGTTCAAGTAATTTGATTAAAACCACACCAAAATGCTTATTCATTTTTGGCCTCTGAGTTCTCTTGGAGAGGTTTGTCGGTGGCTGCAACACTGACTGAAGTTTCATTCTTGTGGGAAAAGTCTAACATTATTTGCTCGCTGCCTTTCTTT